GAGTCCAGTGACGTAGCCATTATGTCAACTGCTGGTCCCCAGAATTTATCAGTTTGAACTCTGATAGCACCTCCTCACTGAGGCCAGGCTCAGTTAGGTGTCCCAGCTCCCAGCACTGATGGCATTGCTATTGCTTGCTTCCCATCTGTTCCTCTGCCTGGACTGCCCTGTCCTGGAAAAACGGGGTTGTGATCACTTTCACTTCAGACCACTGGGACTAAGCAGAGTGTCTGTCACATAGTAGGTGCCCAGTATACGTTCTTCTAAAGAATGGGGTAGATCTCAGGAGAAAGGCAAGCAGAGTCTTTCTCTGGTGGAAGGAAATGGACAGGAATGAACAGGACCTCAAAGCTGGGTCTCTCAGTGACACTGCTCAGAGGAAATGTCTTGTCACAAGATCCATAATTTGATAAATATGGAGAGTTTGGCAATTTTGAAGACCTATGCTGTTCCTTATTTCCCTACTCACACCAACATCCAATATACATACATGTGTGTGACAAGAAAATGAACAAGAAATTGGAATGGAATAAATCAAACAGCCAAGGTGGACCCTATGAAAAATTCTTTGCGTAACTTTAAGCAAGTTATAAACCCTCTCTGAGCCTCAGTTTACATCTGTATCATGAACTGAGTCCTGTGATATGTAAGGTTTTTATAGCATTAATTTTTAAATGGTTATAAGTGATTCAGAACAAGGTACTATAACACATTGTTTGGAAAGTCATGACACATTTTTGTAAGAAAAATACATCATGACTTTCCTGATGATCTAATATTTTAATTGTCCACTCAAAATAAAAAAGAATTCTATTATTGTCAACATACTTGGGGAGAGAAAAAAATAAAGTATAAATTATGGTAGCAGGATCAAATGAGCTGAAACACAGATTAAAATATGTTTTATATTCACAAAGCAATTTTTTACAATGGTGTCAAACAAAAAGTTCTAGTCAATGTTTACACAAGGACTTGATGAAAAATTCCAGACATAAAACTTCTGGAACTTAGGCTTGAACTTAGAAAGACCTCCCACCTCCAAATAAATTTTCCAACCAAAATCTATTAGGATTTTTTTCTCCTTTACAAGAATTCACCCTTCAACAATTATTTCAGCTTATTTTTTTAAATTTAATATCTGAGACTGCATTTAGATATGACAGAGGACTAAACACTTAAGTACGAATATTTTTTTAGAAAGATTTTTGCTATAGGGCATGTGCACTCACCAGAGACAGAATGAGACAGAGTGGGACAGAAAGGAAGAACACCCTGGAGGGGATGGTCGTGCTGCAACCCCTTCACCATTCTCCTCTCTGGATTTTTGGGAAAGCAAACACACATGCCCAGTATGAGTATTTGGTTGCCAGACCCAGGATGTCAATTGTGGTCGACTACGGGAAAAGCCAGCAACGTAACCAATATGCCATCTGCTGGTCTCAGTACCAATGTCTCTTGATACTATAATTTTGGATGAAAATAATTTCAAGACTTTACATTCCCTTCTTTCACAGAATACACCGCACTGTAATTCAATGTTTTCCTCAATATGAATGTCAGTTCTGACAGTTCTTTATCACAGAAATATTCTCAGGCCCTGGGAAAATACCCTAAACCCTACATGGTGCTTTGGAATCCACTGGAGTTGCGGCTGACACTTCTGTGTGCTATCACTTGGTGCTTAGCTGGGCCAGTTGTGGCCATCTCTTCCTGATATCTAACTTGCAGATTAAAGGCAGGATAAAGTTTCTTAACTCATCTTCCCATATACCAGGGTATCATGGTTCTGGCTACCTAAAGTGCTTAGTAAATATGTATTTGTTCACACATTGGTATAGCAAATTTAAATTTTTTTTTAAAAAAGAGCTGGCTCTCTGTGTCCCGGGGGTTAAGGTAGTCTGATCTCATATGACCAACCATGCAGTTACAAGACTTGAAGACTTGAAAAACAGTCTGGGCATGAATGTATGTGCATAACCATTCCTTATAGGGATCTTTCTTACTTTCTCTCTCTTTCTGGGAGGCGCAGTGTCCCCTGGCAATGAAAGAAAAAAAGTTTGCTAAAACTAGGTGTGAAATAACAATAAACAAATGGTGGGTAAAGACTTGAGGATCTTGGTTTAATACAGACTTTCCCTATACTTTCTAATTGTCAACTAGATAGAATGTCACTCTTGATGTTTCATGAGACAATTAATACACAGTAGGAGATAAAAATAAATACGCACAAAATGATTGCACAAACTTTAGCTGATTATAAAATTTAGTGTTATCAAAAAATATATTTTGGGGACCCAAAATACATTGGTATAATGGTTATGTTGCTGGACTCCCATGGAGTCAACTGTGGCTTGAGTCCCAGACCTGGTGGCTTAAAACTCATACCAGGTGCATGTGCATCTGTGCCCAAAATCCCAAGAGGAGACTGGAGAAGAAGGGACTGTGGCATGGCCATCCCCCCCTAGACTTTCCGTCTCTGTCTCTCTGGAGAGTGCATGTGCCCTACAGCAAGAATCTCTTAAAAGAAAAATTCGGGATGGGGGGGAATTTTAGGCACACATTTGACTCTAAACAGAAAATAGAAATGGAATGGGTATCCTTATTTTTTTAGGGAGTCACCTGATGGGACATCTCATAATACCAACCAGCTATGTGATTTTAGAATTATCAATCACTTGCTCTCATTTTATTTTCTCATCTTAAATGCGTAAATAACAAAAGCTTTCTCACAGGGCTCTTGAAGATATTAAATAATGTATTTTAAAGCCTTTACTAGAGGACCTAATACCTAAAAAGTAGAGTTATTTTTATTATAATAAGTTGTCCATTATTGGAGTGGGGACAGTGGTATTAACCCTGGGCATAACTAGGCAATATGCTAGCCAAGACATTTTTCTTTTGGATTTGCTGCCTGGCAGATATCACCAGGATATTTTGGAACCAAATAAGGCAACCAAATAAAAATAAGCTCTAAGTACTTTAAACTCCTTACATTATATAAAACAGCCATGTCTATTAACCTAGCATTCTAAGGAATGGGTTACTAAATGTGGACAATTTTAGGGGATGAAGAAAAGGGAATTTGGGGCCAGCAAGTGGCATGGTGGTTAAAGGCACTGGACTCCCACATGGCCGATCACGGTTCAAGTCTCGGACCTGGTGGCTTGCTTTCTCACTTCTTCTCTCTCTCTCTGTCTCTCTCTGATCAAACTGGAAAATAATAATGATAATAATAATAAATAAAGTTAAAATAAAATAATTAAAAAAAAAGAAAAGGGAATTTACCATAAATGTTGTAATTCTTAGAACTGGCATATGGAAATACCAATGCCAATTATTATAGAATTAAAATATGAAAAGCAAAATTTATACCCTCAAATTTGTATGTAACACAAAGTATTGCATATAAAGGTGGATTTTCCTTGAGGAAAACTATTAGTTTCTCCTTGAACTTCAGCATCATTTTATTCTTTTTTTTTTTAACATTTTTAAAAACTTACATTTAATCACTGTACACCTTTATAGTATGTAACAGTTTTTCCGGGTCTCAGTGCTATTTCTAACAGCAGAACACACTATCAGGTTGTTCGGAAAATCATGATGCAATTTTGCATAGAAATGAAAGTCATTTTCTCATGACTTTCCTCACAACCTAATGCTACTTAAAAATAGAGAAATTAAATAAAATAATTAGGCTCTCTTACAGATGTTTATATTCAGAAATCTATAAAGAATACTCTAAAATACAGATAAGAACACAAACTGTGACACTGTATTAAACACTTCCTAAAAAGGAAGAATTAATGATATGTTATCATCTTTACTTCAGCTTAGTATCTTTTGCCAATATTTGTGGGTGGTCTTTGAATCTGACTATCTCCTTACTGAACTTCTATGATTTATTATTTCCAAGTAAAGTTTACCTGCTACTTGACAATGTTAAGTCAGTCCCAGATTGTTATGGTTAAATTCCAAGACTATTACAGAACTTGTTTTCCAACACCTTAATTAACTGCATTACTGACTTCTGAATCCTCTCTAAATAAGCACCTTTGATACACAAAACTGTTGTACTTGTATGTTAACTCCTTTAGAAATTTTTCCGATTAATAATTTTTTGCACTGAACCTCTAACTTGACAATTCAGCAGTACACATTAAGAAACTCTTAAGTAGCACATTTTTGAAATGTGAAAATCACCTAAACTATAAATGATCTTCAAAAAGTTTATGTAAAGCATAGGGTGGGGAGCAATACTATGAAAAATTATGCCTGGATTTTATTTTATTTTTTAACAATAAATTAACTTGTACTTTAACTCCATCTTCTAGGAAGTTTTTGTAATCCTTTGTATACAAACTGAATCATAGCACATTGAAATATACTAGCTCAACATGGAGAAAATATTTTATTGAAGGCCTAAAAAACTCTCTGCAATGATACTTCACTTTCAAGTTGCTTTTCACCTATTCATTACTGGAGAGCTCATTTACTTAAACATATTTATCAGCAAAATTACAGGGTGATTAAAATCAATGTTTAAAACAAATATTCTCATAGCCTTAAAAAAGATCTAAGTAAAAACTTTGCAAAACTTATGCCACAGTGTGGACTTTTGTGGTTAGGCATGGAATTAATTGGAGAAGTGAAGAGAATGTCTGGTGAGGGAAATCGAAGCAGTCCATTAGCAATAAGTAACAGGTTGGCCTTAATGAGATACGGGCTGCTTATTCCTACACTGTGGGAATTTTGAAAAATAAAAATTCACCTACTAAATTCAGTCACAACCCATAATATTTTTTTAAGTTTTATTTTCATCTCAGCAAAAACCTGAAGGAAGGAAATAAGCCCATTCCATATGTCCCACAGTCCTTTCAAACCAAAGAGCAGAACTGAGCTTATGACTTTCCTTCCAAGTCAACATCTCTTTCTGCTTTTACTCTCTTTGAATTGTGCCAACATCTTTCTCTCACCACTCAAGAAAGAAATCTGAGATTTACCTTCAGATGCTACTTTCTGTAACTCTGAACAACCATCTGCAGCTCAAGTCCTTTTGATCCCGTCTCTAAAGACTGCCTTTTGACTTCTTTTCATTATCACTGCAAGGAACAAGGAATGTTGTTATTGTCCTTGTTCAGGCAACTACTGTTTTTCTATTTTTCCTATTAAGCATTCTAACTGGTCTTCCTGACTTCAATCTTGCCTCCACCAATCTATCCTTTGTGCTGTGAAGGGTAATATCTGTAGAATGTTTATTTATTATGCTGTTTTCTCATTTTGCTCACAACCAAACTGTGTTGTGGCATAGAGGGTGATTGGCACATCTGCCCTGCCAATCGCCAATCTTCCCACTTACCCTTTCCGAATATCTTCTCACCATTTTAGGTAAATTTACTGGCCCTTGCTCTATAAAGTTCTTCCTGAAAGTGATCCCTTTTTACAAGTTAGTTACAAAAGTGATTTGTTTACATGCTTGTCTTTCTCAAACCCAGTGACTGATTCAAAGTAGGTACTAAAAGAATGAAAGGATAAAATTAAATGTATTACTTTTAATGGTTGGTGTAATTTAAATATGGACCTCCCTTAACTAAGCTCTGGTGTCAGGCAAAAGAATTTCTTTTCTCAAGCTCTCAGAATCACCTTAGAATCTACTCTTTTACTTGTAGTTCAACATACTCTAATACTAAACACTAAAAGCCAGTCCTATTTGCTTGGAAAGCCATGATGTAAAAGCATAATGACCCTTTCTAAATGGACAATTTCTATTATGGGTGATTCATGTATATATCATTGTACTGTTTACTTATTTTTAAGCAACAGAGAAAATTTCAGTTCCAGAATATATGAATTTCAGAAATTATGAGTCACTTCTGTTAAAGATAATTTGAGGTTAAGAGAACTGGTCACAGGGACTAAAACAGAAACTAAAGCTAGCTACAGAAAATAAGACAAAGGAAGATTAGCTTTACACAGATACCTAGAGGCAATCGGGAAGAGAAAGCTCCAACTTATAGGGGATAAGGAAAGTGAAATCTAAGATAAGCAATCCAGTCACAAAATGTGCAGGATATTTAACATGGGGGGCGGGGGGGTTGAAATAGCAAAGTGTAATGTGGTATGTATTATATCCATAGAAAAATGAAAAAATGTGCAAGCTTCTGAGTTTAGTAGGAATAGCAAATCTTTGTTTACAGTAAACACCTGATGGGAAATGAAAATCTACAGTACATCAAAGGTTAAAATAGTGTTTTAGCCCATAGTCATTTCTTAACATTAATGAATAGCAGTTGGAATTAGGCTACTGTATGTGATTTCCAAAGACTTATGGTTCATTTTGTTTTGTAGAAAATAGTCCAAAATAATTAGATTTTTAAAATTTTATTTGTTCCTGTCATTAGTTTATTTCTACTTTTATTTGCCCTTGTTATTAGTTTATTCCCACCTGAGATCTAGTGAGAATTATTCTCTTGGGAATGAAGTAAAATGTAATGTCTTAAAACATAGAAAGGATTTTTTTTTAATGAAATATTTCATGAACATAAACATAGGCTTTTAGAGAGACTTTATAGATATTGGGTATGGCTAGTTGACTCTCTCCTATGTTAATCTATTATGCACAACCATCACTTGGAGATGTTAACTCTCTCCTATGTTTATCAGACTCTATTATGCACAACCATCACTTGGAGATGTTGGTACCAGCAGATTGGCTCACAGATCTAGAGTAGAGCCCTGGATTATAGTTTCTAACAAGCTCTCAGGGATGCTGCTAATCCATGGCCCATATTTTGGAATAGCAAGTCCTGGGTTAGTGGCTCTCAACCTTGATGTCTGATAGAATCACTTGTGTGGTTCTTTTAAAAACAGTACTTTTAGGGGTGAAGATTTTAATTAGTCTGAAGTGAAGTATGGGCATTGAAAGAATTAAGAGCTACCAAGGTGAGGCTAACAGGCAGCTAAATTTGACAACCAATGAACTAAAATGTATCGGCTAGATTTATTAGGTTTTATTTCAGTGCTGTATAAATTATGACAGTGACAGATGCCTAATCTCAATTCTTACTGAGAATGTAATTTATTACCCAATCAGATTCTACCTTTAAAAATCCTAAAGGCTTCAATTCTATGTTCTTACTAAATTATTTAGTAACTTTCATTTTTAAAAAAATTGCTTATCAGAGATAGAAAAAGAGAGAAAGTACCCTTCCAGGGGAGTACAGTACCCCTCCAGGGAGTATGGTCACGCCACAGTCCTTTCTCCATCCTGTGAGGATTTGGGGCACATGGGCATACACACACATAACCCAGCATGTTTTTCAAGTCAACAGGGCCAGGATGTGAACCATAGGAGGCCATGTGGGATCCAGCTCCCTTACCTATTAGGCCACAGGGTTGACCTAATAAGTTACTTTTAATAATACTTTAAAGTTAAATATTCATGAAATTATAATGGAATAACAATCTAAATTTAGATTATGAGGTAGCTACATTAATATAAGAATACAAATTCTTGACTCTAAAGTACATAGAGGTATCTGTCCCCAACATTAAAAAAGTATAGCCCCAGTAATTTATGGTGGTAGATACTGCTATTTGCAGGCTGAGGCCATATGTAAGGCTCAGGTTTAATTCTCAACCCAACTTAAAAGCCAGAGGCAGGCTCAGCTGCAATGGTACAAGCTGAAGGGTACTGCTCTGCCGCGCAGGAGACACATGGAAGACTATGGTTCAGATCCCAGACTAACCTGAAACACACTGTGCACACAAACCCACCCATGTTGTTGGCTGGCTGGAAGTCTGGGTTCAGGGGAAGTCAGGTGTGAGGAGATCCTGTCAAGGGTGTCTGTTTCTTTCTCTTCCTTTCTTACATGGAAGAAGTAAAATGAATGAACTTTAAGAAAAGCAGAAACACATAAACACAAAAACTAAGGGCATGCCTACAGTTCAGCAGAAGGCTAAAGAGAAACTTGATACAGCAAGACCCTGTTTTTAGTAATAAATAAATAACAGTTCAAACTAGTTAGTAAGTTTATAAAAAAAAGTTATCCTCTAATCTGTTATATAAACCAGGAAGATGGCCAGAAATTTACTTACTTAATAATATATATATATATAACGCCCGGCTTCAGTTTTAAGCCACCGGGTCCGGGACGCGAACCGCGGTCAACTATGTGGGCGTCCAGCGACATAGCCATTATGCTAACTGCTGGTTCCCATTAGTTACTAATATTTTAAACTCCAAGGTACTTGCAGAAACTCTTAAACAATATTGGAATACAAGTCAACTGCCACATACTAATGATGTAACTGACTCAAACATCCTCAACAGTTTTTCACACCTAAAACCCAGTAAGAATATGAAAGCACTGACTAATGCCACATGCAAATATTCAAAAGAATTAAGCCTTTGACAAGCCATAAAAGAAATAAACAAACAAAAAAAATACAAAAAAGGCATTTCAGTGCAAAGAACTGAAGTTCAGATCGGGAACTTGCAGCTTTGAATGTAATCAGGCACATCACAAGGAAAGACATACCTCATTCTTATTTTAAAAATTAAAAAAAAAAAAAATCCCTCCAAGATAGTATACTGAGAGTCCCTTGCAGATCACATCTATATGATCTAAAATGACTTATGTGGTCCTCTAAAGCAAGTACGATTCTCACAACAAAATACCAAGAGTTTTCTTTTAAAATGATTGGTGTAACGAGTTTCTTTAGAAAAAGATTGTTTTAAATTTGTCTTCAAGTCTAATTGTTTGGCTATCATTTAAAATAGCAAAAAAGAGTAATATCTTTTTTTAAAAAAAGGGGGGAAGTTAGGGAGAATAGGGATCATTAAATGCAATGCAAGAATACTATGCAGAATTAAAATAAAGAAAAATGTAAACTGGAGATAGTGAAAAGCTTTTCCTAAAGAAAACTATGTCAAAGCAGGTGATTTTATTATCTAGCCCACACAATATATACACGTCTAACCAGATACACAAAATTTTTGTTTCTTCTACAAATTCAAAATTCCTGTGTGAAAATATGTTTATTAATGAAGATGGTAGTATGCAGATTATTTCCTTTTAGTTTACTGTTTAGCTTAACACAAAATACCTAGTGTGACCAAATACATGAGGAATCCCTGAATGCATCAAAAAGTGCCATCCTTGCAGTTTTCTGTCACTAGGATGCTAAGAAAATTTAACAGTGAAGAAGTGAGAAACAGGTTGTATCAATTTTAAATTTCAATTATTAATCCTCTTCAGAACTGGAATCATCCTCTTGGTCAGAAAGTTCAGGGACAGGGAAACGGAGAATGGCAGCTACTCCAGTCAACTGGCTGAGCTGTTCCCCAGACACATGAAGACTTGAGAATATTCTAACTGTGCCTGCATTCTCCTTCACGCTGTCCACCAGCCTTACAAACCGGCTCCTTGTGGCTACATCCTGGTGCCTGAAGAGCTCATCACTGATGAGCAGTGTGTCAATTGCCATGGCTTCATTGGCCTTCTCCACCTGCTTAAGTCCATAGAAGGCACGATCAGGTTCATGTTGCAACATTTTATAGAAGTCATCTAAGGCTTTTACTTCTCCTGCAGCTTTGGTGTCTGAGAGGCGGCTAGCTACGGTGGGGTCACAAAGGGCCTCTTTCAGGGAGTACTTGTGTCCAGAGGAGGCATGTACCTAGAATTGCAAGTATAAAGGTTAGACAAAAGAATATTTTAGGGCACCCATTAATGAGCCCACAGTGACCTAAATTTCAAAGCACTAATAAAGTTTTATATGTTTAAAGTCTTCAACAAAATACACTATATAAATTTGCTAGACACCTAACAGTTCTTTTTATTTCATTATCTTGTTTACAATCCCAGCCAAGAAAAGGCTTTCTGCTGTTTTACTTTTCCCAGCTCTATAACTTCAGTAGTTTACACCAATCCTTCTGCCTATTATTAATTATCCCCCAAGGGTAAGACTGTTTTACCTGAAGGAACTTGGACCGGTTTTCCAGGAGCACTTTGTTGTCAGTCTTCACCGCTTGCTGAAACATGTAGTCACAAAACTGCTCCCTCACAAATCCTGGGCTGGCCACCAAGATGCACTTTACCACATCAAAGTGTATGTGGCGCTGAATGGCCTGGACCACCTGTTCATAGAACCGTTCCAAGGCTCGGTCATGCTGAGAGCAGTTGCCTTTCCGTTTCCTAGGGATGTTCACCTCCACCTTGGCCCGAGTGAGGGTCATGCTGGGAGTGACTAAGCAGATATGGGCGAGGCCTTCCTGCATGACCACAGCGGCCACATCGGCACTCCAGGCTGGGTCGCAGGCCTGCTCGATACGCTCCAGAACCACACTGTCCCACTGTTTCTTGGCCAGGGTGAACTGGCGGTTGGGCTCCAGCTCGATGGTGTGATAAGCCCCCATCTTGACATACTCATTCTCTTGGATGTTGGTTCCCTTGACCCGCAGCTGGCAGGCTTGGGAGTCGAAGTCGATGGCCTCTACACAGAGAGTGAGGGTAGTGCGGATCCGGTTACTTCCCACGCTGCCTGTGGAGGACTCGGTCTGTACCTTGCGGATGGTGGAGGCGCGCAAGCTGTCGCCTACCTGCACCAGATTATAGGTGTGCCACATGTCCTCAGGCTCCTCGGGAACCAGCGTCACCTGGCCCGCATTATCCTTTTCGATGTCCTTCCTCACGAGCTTCATGGCCTTGACAGGGACTCAACGGCAAAGAGTAACTTAGGGTATCCCCACAGGGAAAACAGGAGGGAAGGAGAACGGGAGTCCAGGCTGGGAAGGGGGGCGGGGTCCGTTTCCTAAGAGCACTTGCCTGGACGGAAGAAAATGCTCTAGCTCTGACTCACGCGGCCGAGAGAGGCGCGAGCCCTTTCTTTCTGAATCCCCCGGCTCGCCGTGCCGAATGGACGCGGGAGACACCGCAGCGAACGCGGTCCTCTCCGGAATCCCCGCGGCTAGCACGGAGCAAGGGGCTGACGCAACCACGGCGCCTGCGCAGCCCGCGACCTCTCGGCGCACGTTCTACGTCCCCAGCGTAGGGGCGGGGCCCAGGTTTGCGCGCGCGCAGACGCAGGAAGCGGGGGTGAGGAGGGCGGTCCTCACAGGCTTTCAGGCGAATGCACGGAAACTTTGGGGGTACGTCCTTAGTTCTAATTGTTGAAGTTTGACTTCTTGTTTTCTCTTCACGTCTGTGAAGAATTTTGGGAGTAAATGAGTAGAAGTATATTTTTTAGCTGGCTGCAGTTACCACTTTGCACCTCCTCCACCCAGAAACTCCAATTTCAAAATCTACGTAGAAGTAAAAAAACACCTCTCAGCAATGTAGATTTGGCCCCAAAGGTCCAAACTATGCTTGATTTTGCGTCTCCCTTATCCATAAGCAGACACTGCACGCCTGTTGGCTCTTGTATCTCCAGAGCTGGTTTCTAAGAACAGCTGGTCACGTTCGGTCTAGGCTCTGCGCGACGAGCCCAGCTGTTTTCTGCCCTTAGTTACCATGTCCGCATGATCTGATTAACCCAGATGTTAGAGCACTCATTCCAGATGGAGAAGAAACCATGTATGGAATTCACCCCTGGGTGGACCTCTAATTGCTTGACCTGGTCCTGGGAATCCCAGAATCCACGTCTGGCAGCCCCCGTTTTCAGGAGCTCAGTAGCCAGCAGAATACTTAGGATGGGGGTTGGGTTGTAACAACTCAGGGCCTGGTTTTCGCTGCTGGAGTTAAGCTAAAACCAAGGAAAAACTGAAGTACTATGACTGATCCTGACTGAATAGCTACAGAGTTGATTTTAAAGAAAATCCTTAAGTAACTTGCCGGTTTTTAACTGGGGTTGGGGGTAGAGAAGCATGATCGCCTCTTAAACAGATAAATACAAAATAAACAAACAAAACACCTCACTAACATTTTCTTTTTTTTAATCTTTTCTTTTAAGAGATATTTTTGCTACATGGTGAATGCGCTTGCCAGAGAGACAGAAACAGAGACAGAAAGCAAGAATCATCCCTCCCCGCCATGGCCACGCAGCAATCACTTCTGAATTTTCCACTTGGGATTTCTGGTAAGATTATTTTACGCAAGTATGGGAGTTTTAAGCTACCAGGTCCAAGACTCGAACTGCAGTGGACTATGTGGGAGTTCAGCAATGTAACCATTAAGTGATCTGCTAGTCCCACTAACATTTTTTTGACAGTTAAAATGAAGCAAAGACCATGTGTCCAACACACAGAGTTTATTACCTTTCCTAGCTTAGGTGTATAGATTTGAAAGGATAGCTCACCAGCTCTAACTGGTGAGACAGGGATGGAAGAGAACAATCTGACTTTGGAACAAGGTGTGATCATGTTAACTGAAATGTCAATTATCTTCCTCAGAGACTGTCAGGGGACAAAAAGGGCCCCTCTGAGGCTCTAGTCCAGATTAGAACTGTTGTTTGTTTTGCTGCCTCTCTCCCTCTGTCTTTCGGGCTCTCTCTCCTACCTCCTCTTTCCC